TAGAGACAAAGTCTCACTCTATCGCCCTCGGTAGAGTGCTGTGGCATCAGAAAGCTGACAGCAACCACCAACTCCTGCGCTTAGGCCATTCTCTTGCCTCAGCCTCCTGAGTAGCTGGGACAATAGGTGCCTGCCACAACGCCCGGCAGTTTATTTGTTGCAGTTTGGCCGAGGCGGGGTTTGAACCTGCCACCCTTGGTATATGGGGACGGCCCCCTATCCACTGAGCCACAGGCGCCACCCCCAAGACATTTTTTTTCTTTTACCTCTGTCACCTTATTAGGATGCCTTGCGTTGATTGAGGGCTAGCTGAAACATGTTAACTGCCTGAGAACTTGTTCTTTTCCAGGTAGTGTTAGGGCCACTGCCTCTCCGTATAGCCTCTTTCCTTGGTATTTCTAGCAAGGGGGCTAGATTTTTTTTTTTTTTAATAAGTAGAATCTCACTATGTCACCCTTGGTAGAATGCCGTGGCATCAAAGCTCACAGCAATTTCAAACTCTTGGGCTTAAGCGATTCTCTTGCCTCAGCCTCCCAAGTAGCTGGAACTACAAGCGCCTGCCACGACACCCAGCTATTTGTTGCAGTCGTCATTGTTGTTTAACAGGCCTGGGCCAGTCTTTATGTGGCCAGCACCCTAACCACTGGGCTACAGGCACCAAGCCAAGGCTAGATTTTTTTATTTGGTGGCATGGAAGTGCAAAAATGGAAGTTGCCAAGACTTTGTAAGCAAGTCATAGTTCTAGACCAGGCATCCTCAAACTACAGCCCGCCACATGCAGCCCGCCTAGGACATTTATCCGGCCCACTAGGCGTTTTTGCTGCTGCTGCTGTCTGTCCTGCTTAGCAGCCGACTCATCCCAGGGCCCGCAGTCCAGCCCTCCAATGGTCTGAGGGACAGTGAACTGGCCCCCTGTTTAAAAAGTTTGAGGACCCCTGTTAGACCATATGAAATGGGAAGGGACCACACAAGGATATGAATTCTAGGAGAAATTCAGTAGAGGCCATCTTTGTAATCAACTATTGCATATAGTAGAAGAAATTTTCACATACTCATCACTGGCTCTTAGAATTATCAATTCATGACCAATCTCATTGTATCTAAACCTCATCTCTCCAGATTATTTTGAAGCAAATCCTCTAGATACCATACTATTTCATCTTTTAAGTGTTTCATTAGGTTTCTGAGTAAGTCCACTCACTTTTCACATTTCCCCAGTCGACTCATAAAGGCTTAATTTTTAGGGATTGTTTTTCTCTAAAACAATCACTATTCTGATTTTTATCAACATAGATTAGTTTTGCATATTCTAGAACTGCATATAAATGGAACCATATTGTATGTACTCCTTTATTTCTTGTTTCTTTCACTCTATTTTTGATAATTGTGTTATATATTAATAGTATGTTTATTACTTATTGTTCCTTTTAATTATGGAGTAATAGTCTGCTACTTGACTACAACAGAGTTTGTTTATCCATGCCTCTTGTTTTAGTTTTCTTTCTTTCTTTTCTTTTCGCTCTTTTTTTTTTGAGATGGGTCTTGCTGTGCTGCACAGGCTTGTCTGGAACTCCTGATCTCAAGTGATTGTCCCCCTTTGGCCTCCCAAGATGCTAGCAATGAAGGCATGAGCCACTGTGCCCAGCCTAAACGTTCTTGTGTAAGGCTGTCTACTCTATATCTGTATTTTCTTTTTCTTTTCTTTCTTTTTTTCTTTTTTTTAGAGATAGTCTCACTTTGTCACCCTCAGTAGAGTGCTATGGCGTCACAGCTCATAGCAACCTGGTCCAGCTCTTGGGCTTAGGTGATTCTCTTGCCTCAGCCTCCTAAGTAGCTGGGACTACAGGTGCCCACCACAACACCCGGCTATATTTTTGTTGCAGTTTGGCTGGGGCCCGGTTTGAACCCACCATCCTCAGTATATGGGGCCAGTGCCCTACTCACTGAGCCACAGCGCCACTCTTTACTTATTTATTTATTTATTTTGAGACAGAGTCTTATTGTGTTGCCCTCAGTAGAGTGCTGTGGCGTCACAGCTCACAGCAACCTCAAACTCTTGGCTTTGGCATCACAGCTCACAGCAACCTCAAACTCTTGGCTTAAGTGATTCTCTTGCCTCAGCCTCCCAAGTAGCTGGGACTATAGGTGCCCATCACAACATACAGCTATTTTTTTTTTTAATTTTTTTTGAGACAGCGCCTCAGGCTGTCCCCCTGGGTAGAGGGCCATGGCATCACAGCTCACAGCAACCTCCAACTCCTGGGCTCAAGCGAGTCTCCTGCCTCAGCCTCCCAAGTAGCTGGAACCACAGGC